ACCCTACCCTACCCTACCCTACCCTACCCTACCCTACCCTACCCTACTCTACTCTACTCTACTCTACTCTACTCTATTTAATTCTATTCTGTTATAAAGTGTTCACTCACCTTCTGGCTGCCTTGATGTCCTTCCAAAGAGGTGGGAGTTAAATAAATGGACTGGAAGTTTGTGTCACTCACTTTCACCATTACGTCTTTGTACATTCCTCTGTAGCGGGAATTAAACGGCATTGCGATGCTGATGGGAGCAATGTTGAGTTGACCCACCAAGGAACATTCTACAGATATGACGTTGCTGACAAGTTCTTCGGACTCATTCACAACGAAGGGACTTAAATCATTGACGACGGTGACGGTGAGATGTTCCAGAACGCCGCGAGGGGCTATCACGCTACACGATAGTTCAGGTTCTCCCAGTTCATTTGCTTGCGTGAAAAATCTATAGCCAAGAAATAGTGTGAAAAAAATTGATGGAATACAGAGTAGCAACTTGGAGGTCCTTTAGTCCATACCTCCCCGCACCCGTTTGAGGTGAAGACTTGACAAATGGCCATCTAATCTCTTCTTGAAAACCGCCAGTGATGGCACATCCATGGTATCTCACGACAACCTGTTCCACGGTTGAATTGTTCTCACTGTCAGGAAATTTGTTGTGGCCTGTCGGCCGCCGGCCCCTACAGCAGGTGAATCAGAGGAGGAGGAGGAGGAGGAGGAGGAGGAGGTGGTGGTGGTGGTCGTGGTGTGGGAGTCAGGGACAGCATCAAGGCAACCTAAGAGCTTCAAGGGGGAAGAGGGAATGGAGCTGGAAGAGAGAGAGACAGAGACAGAGGCAGAACCTGCACCATCTCTCAGCCCTCAGATGGAGAGTCAACAGTCCCCAGGTCTGGAGGTGGCTGATGAGGAAGAGGAGGAACAGCTGGGTCCAGTGCCTGCCCTGAAATAATTATTTGTAACTACTTGAGGAAGGGAACTACATTAAATCTTTCCAGCAGTGAGGACCACAGCTTGACCTCAGGAAGAGGTGACTGGTTTTACTTCGATGAGATACCTTGTGTGGCCTCGTAGCATCACTTACTTCTGATTGGAGCTCACCAATGAAGACACCCCCAATTGCCTTGTTTACAGAAGCAAGGAATACCCACGATTGTTCCTCTTATCCTTTTCTTACTCAGCCTTATCTGCAGGACTATAAATACCGGCTACCTGGGAATGCAAGGCCGTTGAAAAACCCTATTAAAATGTTAAGCATCATCTGGATGAAATATAATCCAATTAGCCAGCTTTGTTATAAATTTACAAAATCGTTAAAGGGAAATTGATTTTATTCCAGGTAATGACAAGGGTTGGGTTTGTTTTTTATTATTTCGGTATTTTATGCAACGGTAATAAGATAATGGGCTGCCTTAAATTGCAGTCTAGCTGGGGCTTCTAAATATTATGAGTTCCTTTCCTTAAGAAAATCTTCAAAGTGGGGGGGATGATGCCATTTTTTTCTCCCCTCGAGTGATTTGGGCTGAATCCATATTTTAATTTTTCAAATCGATTTCTCTTAATGAGTGGCTTGGAAAGGAAAGCACTAGAATAAGTTTCATTCCTCATGAAACTTATTTCCATGTTGTTTTTCTATGGATTTACAGCCCAAAGCAACAATTTAGATCAGAACTGACTCAGCTGCCCATATTTTGCTTCGTAAACATTTTCCTGCAATGCTATTTTTTCCCCCAACACGGAGATTTTTTTTAGAATGCCAGATCCTGAAGAGGAAACTCAAGGACTTTGGCCACCTGATAAGAAGGAAGGACTCCCTGGAGAAGAGCCTCATTCTGGGAACGATGGAGGGCAAAAGAAGAAGAAGGGGACGGCAGAGAAGGAGGGGGCTGGATGGAGTCACCAAAGCAGTCGGCGTGAGCCAGAGGTGGGTTCCTACCAGTTCGCACCTATTCGGTAGAACCGTTTCGTCAAATCTCCCGAACCGGTTAGAAGAGGTTCCACCAGTGGACCNTTGTTGGGGGCGATATGCTGACTCTCTGTAAACCGCTTAGAGAGGGCTGAAAGCCCTAGGAAGCGGTATATAAGTCTAACTGCTACTGCTATTGCTATCATCTATCCTCTATCTATCTATCTATCTATCTATCTATCTATCTATCATCCATCCATCCATCCATCCATCCATCCATCCATCCATCAGCCTTGACTCAGCCTTCCATCCTTCCGAGGTGGGTGAAATGAGGACCCGGATTGTTGGGGGCGATATGCTGACTCTCTGTAAACCGCTTAGAGAGGGCTGAAAGCCCTATGAAGCGGTATATAAGTCTAACTGCTATTGCTATTGCTATAATCTAGATTGCCCCAGAAGAGGAGATGGAAGGGGTGACGTTTCTGAGGCCTCATGAACAGGTTGCCCTGATCCATCAAAACAGCAGACGATTCCTTGACAGGCACCCTGGTTGGCTCTCCCCATGGATGCAAGTAGCCAACAGACCAATCAATCCCAGGCCTGGTTTCTTAGCATGTCGCTCAAACCAGGATAATTTGCCATGTTTCGAGAGGAAGGTTTCATTTCACCTTCAACACAATCCCAAAGAAGCCGCCCACCTTTAAGGCCTTCACCCACCTCTTGGGAGAAGCCAGAAGGGCTTCCTTTTCATTCTGGTGGGAGAAGGCCTGTGGGTCAAGTTCACAAGTCAACAAAAGAATGGGGTCAGAGTGGGCATCTTGGTTTCTTGCAAGACCTCGTCATTGTTGTAGGAATAGGGTCATAGCAGAGGTGGGTTCCTACCAGTTCGGCCGAATAGGGAGTCACCCGGCCAAATACATGGCCGTACCGGTTCTATCCTGGGTGCCGCCATCTTTATTTTTTGTTCTGCACATGCGCAGAACAATCTTCATTGAAAAAATGTAATTTTTCCCCCTTTTTTAATGGTGTGCACATGCCAGTCCCAGAGACGGACCGTTTTCCACAAAAATGGGGGCGTTCTTCCCTTCCCCCAGCCTCCAGAAGGACTCTGCAGGCTCCAGCAGGGCTGGGGGAAGGGGGAAATGCTCCTGTTTTTGAGAAAAATGGGTCACTTTTGCAAAAATGAGGGGTGCTTTTCCCTTCCCCCAGCCCTGCTGAAGCCTGCGGAGTGTTCCTGAGGGCCGGGGAAGACAAAACCCTTTTTTTCTTAGTGGATAGTTTTCAGGTGCTCCCTAGCTCTGGCCAGGCTGGAGCTCCCTCTCCCCCCATCAAAACTTTTCAATACCGTTTAGGTGGGAGTGGCTTGGGGAGGGGGTCATGTGACTTGTGGCACGACAAAACCGCGCTCCACTAAAGCGCGCCCGATTAAACCGGGGCGCTGATGTCATCAGCAGGGCGACAACAGCGACCGTGGAGAAAAAAGGGTGCTTTAAATAGCGCTTTG